GAGGAAGGGAGAGGGAGAGAGGCGGAGAGAGACGGAGAGCGAGGGAGAAAGAGAGAGAAAGAGAGAGTGGGAGAGAGGAAGAGAGAGAGGGAGAGAGAGAGAGGGACAGAGAGAGGGACAGAGAGAGGGAGAGAGAGAGAGGGAGAGAGAGAGGGAGAAGGGGGCGTAAATGGCCGGGGTAACAAAACAGCGACACACAGAAAGCCAGGCCTACGATTTCCCCCCCCCAACCCCTTCAAACTGGGTCAGCATCCCACGAATAGTCAATGGGGCCAAACAGCGCCCACATCTGCCGTGACCTGTGCCCGCCTGTGCCCCTGCTTGACCAGCAAACACACCAGATCGGTCGCGAACAGCGAACTCACCACTTATGACGTCGAGCGCGAACAAGCTCATGAAGGGTGTGATGTCGAATGGTGGCCCGCCCGCGAGCGCGAGCATCTTGTCCTCCAGAATGGCGCAGTGCTTGTTGAAGAGCGCGACAAACTGCTCCAGGACGCGCACGCTGAAGGCCGGCGACAGCATCTTGCGCCGGGAGTGCCACTTCGCACCTGTGCGGCGGAGCGGCACGAGCAGGAGCAAAGTTTCAAAATTGAAAATCGCTCAAAATAATGCAAAAACAAACTAAAACAAAATCATTTGCGTCGATTTTAGTGGGTGTATAGAGAATTTTCGGTAACAAAAAACGTGTAACGGCCCAGCCCAGATAATATTTTAGTGCAAACTTACGAGTGATTGCACGGATAAATCAATTGGATCAATTGGTACCAGAGAAATTTTGTTTGCAGTACAATGTCGCTGTACCGGGTGTGTGCGCACGCTGCAGTGTTTCGGGTTTGCCTACTCTGTCCACAAGGAGCCAACCATGCATGGCCCCTGCTGCCCGAAGAGGGCATGCAATCCCGCATCAACCTCTAGCGTCGCAACCGTCTTTAAACCATACTGAGAAAACAACGGTGCTATCTAATTCCTTTTTAGGTGCGTTAGTGGAACATTGCCTTTACAAAAGCGCTTCTGGCCCCCAACGCGACAATTTTAGTACTTTTATATGGGCATTAGTGCAGTAGCACTTTTAAAAGGTGTTACACAACACCTTTGTTTTTCCAGTGTGCTTTTTAATTACATATATATCGCACGGTTGCAAAATAATGCAAAGCTAAAGCAAAGCTAAACCAATGAGCAAAGGGTCTGATTCTGATTGGTTTTGTGTTTTTCCCATGACGCGTGCTGAGTGCAGCCAGAGCCTGATAAGGCAAATAGGGCTAGGCCAAGGCCACACCAACCTCCCGCGAGAAGGATCCCGTCCCCGAGCCACGATGACAAGAGCTTGTAGTTCTGGCCCTTATCAGCCACCGCTGGGTGGGTGAGCACGACCTGGTGACACAGTGTTATGAATGGCACAGGTGTTCACAAACAATCACTGCACCCTTGGCTCGAACATCCGTTACCTCGGCGTCCTCCGGTCCACTGATGAGGACAACGGGCTGATGCCCGGACCACAGCCTGAAGATGGGGCCGTACTTCCGGACGTTTTTGGTTCCGAGCTCGACTAGGTCTAGAAACACAGCGAGGAAGGTGAACAACTTTAAAATTGGGTATGAGGGCGAAAAAAAAAGATCCATATATGGTTTAAAAAGAAGCAGTGCCCTTTCAAACGCGGCCTGCTAAAGCGTCCTGCCGGAGGCGAGTTCATATGAACCCATATGGGTACGGTTGTCCTGGGCAGCCGGGGGCAACCCTGCAGTGACGGACTGGGGGGTCAGGGGCCCGGTGCACTGTGGGATGCCTACCCCGCCGGGGTTTAGCGAACCGAAGTGTTAAAAATTGCCTATCCACAAAGGGCAATTATTTAAAAATTTTAATTTTTGTCATTTGGAAATTGAATTACGCTGAATCTACCCCAAATAATGAAAAGATTGGCAAGACTGCCCGAGCTACAAGAGTCTTTGTTGTTGAAACGGTCAATAAGGTCGGATAGGCAAATGCTAAATTCGCGAGCGAAATTTTGTGGCGATAAAACTTGTGAATTGTATATTAGTTTATTGCGAGAAAAGATATACGTCGATCCAGTACTTAAAACTCATTTACAGATGCAGATGAACTTATGGCATTACTAGTATGCTATACTACTTTGAAGACAGTTCAGTCTGAGTTGAAGTAAGAAATGAAAACATGATGTGTTAACTCGCGGATTGGATTGATTTTAAAAGGGTTCTTTCACGTTACCGTAACTAATTTCTTATTATATTATAAAGCACCCCCCCCCCTTCTCGACGAGCCTGCCAGCTATCGAATTTAGCCAATCAAACAGAATTGTTCCCCACCAGAAAGTCATTATTTTCACGTGCGCTCCCTTCTGACCTGCCAGAGTTTTACGCTCACGCAGGCGTAGGCCACGCTCCGCAAAACTTGGCATGAGCGTGAGTTCTTGATTGAACATAGCTTTAGTCTGGTCTGGTCGGATGTCTCAGATTTTCAACATGAGGGTGGGGGGGGGCAGTAGTAAATTAAATAAAATACCGTGCACATGCAAGCTTACTGTCTGTGCTATTTGCTGCTGTGATGCTCCCGGATCTGGACCCCAGGGGGGCCCGGGCCCCCTAAAACCGGAGGGGGGGGGGTCGCCTTTTTGGCGACCACCGCACCCGGGCCAGTCCGCCACTGCAACCCTGCGAGAGTTCCTGTGTTGAGTACGTTTGCCTGGGTGCCTGGCGGTTGGCCTGGGCCTTGTACGGTTCGCCTGGACCCGGACCACCACCACAACCAAGCGCCCTGTGGCCCGGTGCCAGGGATCACCTAGGACGTACGTCCATTATTCTCCATCACGAGCCTGTCAGGTTCAGCCGATGCAAGCTCTCATAGCGCCTGATACGTATGCAATATCTTGCCTGCGATGCATGCATGTACTGCGGGATTGCATACCCCGAGTCTCGCAGGCGCCGAGCCCCCGTCATTTGCTGATTGAATCAGAGAGAAAAACGGACGTACTTTCTGGACGGTTCCTAAGGGGAAAGGGCAGGAGAGGGAAAGGGGGGGGGGGGACTTTGCCCTCCGGCAGAGACAGTCTTGGGGACTGTCTGAAAGTTTACGCCACAATGTCAGCTGCTTACACCTCCTCATACATCGTTCTTTGAAATTTTACACCACCAGTCGGATGAGTAGCCTTTACCGAGTGTGTAACGTCCTGGTTCCTCACCTCCCTTCAGCCAGATGACTTGGACGATGAGCTCGAGCATGTTGCCCGCCAGCGGGACGAACAGCCACGGCCCGGGGAGCTTGGCGATGAGCGCATTCCTTCGGCGGTTGCGGAGCGCCAGCGCGAGGGACAGCAGCAAGGCCGCCCAGGCCAGCAGGACCAGCAGCCCCGGCATCCTGCAACCACAGCAACGACAGGTAGAGTACAGCAAACAGGGCTGACGCGATACTCAAAGTTCGGTAAGGATGTCGTCCGCAAAGATGCAGAACCGCGCCGTTCTTGTTGTCGATGATTTTCCAACATGGTTTCTTTTAGAGACGCGCGCCGGCCTACCTCAGAACCGGTCTCGTGGCTCAGGCGGGCAACACTAACACTATACTCGTACTGTACTGCCCGACTCCCAGCTGCGTGGGCCGAATGCCTGCAGACTGCCTGCCTGCCGGCTGGCCGCCGCTGCCCGCCAGCTCCGCCCGCCCGTCTGCACGCTGCCTGCTCGGCCCGCCAGGCGGACGCGGACGCGCGGACGCGCGGTCTCCTCTTATCATTTTACGTCCATCAAGCACAACATGATCCACTGAGTGGAGTCAGTATAGGCGCTGTCGGGCAATGACCATCTCCATCGGAGTTGATAGGGATCCCATGGTATTGTGATCCCAGGGTAAAAATATCATTGGGGCCTTATGGGCTCCAGTAAACGGTAATACGGCAACTTTTTATAGAGCTCGACTCCAGAGACCCCAGAATACCGTGAAAACAATTGTAGTGGTTTTACGAATTCGGTTAATTTTCTATTACGAAAACTCTGTTTTTAAAAAATTACGATACACCTTTATTTAACGAATTTATTTGTAAAATCCAAAGCTCTAACTGAAGAGAATGAAATTTGTATGTATTTTGTCAAATTTTTACCCCAAAATTTGCGTTCGTTACGACAGATATTCCTGTGACGGAAATATTTTTTGAGAGCAGCGAACATTAGCCTCTAAAATGATCAAAAATCAAAAATGTGGAACTTCCTTACAACCCGAGTTTTACACGGGGGCTGCCTTTTGACATTGGTGTCCAGTGTTTTCAGGCACAGTGGAAAATAAAAGGCGCTTACCTGGTGCTGGTGGAACACCTTTTAAAAGTGCCACTGTACCGAATGTACCATCCTTCTGTAAAGGCACTACAAATGGTAAAAACACTGAAACAAGTCTTTAATTTTGCACGTCATTTGGTGTATAAGTTTAAGTGTCCAAAGTTTAGATGCGTTTTTTGTTGTCAACTAAATTATTGGCTGAGCGATTAGCGAAGCCCATTACTCCACTGACCGAAAAAGCTTCATTCATTCTGTTTGTTTGTATGTCCGCACGATAAGAAAGAATTGTGATAGCGATCTGGGAATTTCAGGGTCGTTTTGTATTATAAAAATACAGATCGAGTTCGAAGATGAGCTTCCTAGCTAGAAAGCAGGTCGCAAAATGTACTCTTTTTCTTCAAATTTTTTTTTAAGGGTTCCAAAGGGATAACTTGTAAGAGTAAAATTCTTGGGGCGAAAATTTTGTCCGTTTTGCTCTATCGTGTACTGTTTGGGTGCTAGGGGGCATTTCTTGACGAAAATGAGGTGAAAATGACTAAATGGTGTATTAAATTGCGAAAACGCTTCAAATCGATAAACTGTAAAGGAACCAATTCTTAAACTACACATTTGGCGTCGAACCACACCCTCCTTTGGGTTCAAGGGTCCCTAGGTAATCTACTATCACTACAACGTTGATTTTTAAATAACAATCTGTCAAAATTAGAACTTTAAATGAATACCCTTATCGAATATGAGAAGTTGTCATGTCTAAATTGGAGGCCGAAAGGCCTTATTTCCGTATACACTCCTATTAACTCATCTCGAGTGTCAGCGCCGCAGGCCTAGCTATATGTGCGCCAGCAGGCGCGTCGCAGCGTAACAGTGTTTCGCGAGATATCGCGAAGCCTGTTACGCGAGACGTGTTCTGGCGTACATACATGTAATTGGTGTGAAATTTTCCAAAGAGTTTATAGCAGCTGCACACCATTTGGTTCCCACCAAGGGCATATGCCCGTGATTGTACAAGTATGCAAAATGCTGGGGGGGGGGCGTAGCTAGACGGGGGCATCGAACTGGTACCGCATTACGCTGTGCTCCTGTTCAAGCACAACCACCTCTTCGTCCTTCCCGCCCGAATGCCTTCGGGCCCTACGATCTCCTGGGCTGACCCCTATCGACCCCTTCCCCTGCACTGCTAACCCAACGCGATGGCAAGTACCCTCTCACTAGTGCAAAGTACACTGTTAGGTTTCAGTGTGTGGTGGCGCCGCTCCCCCTCCTCCCCCGTCCCTCAGTATCTGCTCCGCCCCCGCTCACTCGCTCGACCTTTCGCCCCCCCCCCCCCTCTCTGTCTCTCGCTTCCGGGGGATCAATACTGCGCGCGGGGAGTCCGGCCGCGCCCAGCCGCGCTGGCGGGGAGCCCCCGGGGCAGCACCTGGCAAAAGGGGAACAGGGGATGCGGGGCTAGAGAGGTGCAAACTGCACGAAGGTCTGAAATGTTGATGTCCTGGGGTGTCATCGCGTTCTATGTTAAAATACAAGATTTTTGATACCCCTCTCGACTTGATCGGACCACCAGAAAAGGTCCCGCCAGGCTGTCAAAGTTTAACATAGAACTCTTATGGAGAAATAGTCAAAAAAGTGAAATTTCCCGTTTGAGCCTTTCGGTCACGAAAATTTAGGCTGTGCCATGGTGATTTCATTGAAAAATGGTCATTTAGCGCCAATTCAGCCAAAATTGCCATATTATAGCTCAGGGACCCCTTGATGAAATGTGACGTTCGACACGTCTCCGAATGCGTTTTCACGCGTAGATTCCATTTCCGGTCGAGTTTTCCCAAATTTTCGTGACCGAAAGGCTCAAACGGGAAATTTCACTTTTTTGACTATTTCTCCATAAGAGTTCTATGTTAAACTTTGACAGCCTGGCGGGACCTTTTCTGGTGGTCCGATCAAGTCGAGAGGGGTATCAAAAATCTTGTATTTTAACATAGAACGCGATGACACCCCAGGACATCAACATTTCAGACCTTCGTGCAGTTTGCACCTCTCTAATGCGGGGCACTGTCGACCAAGGCATCAACAACCATCTCCGAGTGTT